GGGGTAGAGGTTGGCGGGGTAGAGGTTATGGTGGCAGGCATTTCAACTCCAAGGGTAAAGGCTTTGTCCAGGTTGGAAACTACAACCACAGTTGGCCAAGTAAGAAGAATTGGATGCTTTGCACAAGAATGAAACGTGGAAATTGGTTCCACCACCTTCACCATCAACAAACATTGTCGGCTCCAGATGGATATTTAAAACTAAACTCCACCTGGATGATAGCCTGGACAGATTCAAGGCATACCTAGTAGCTAAAGGATACTCTCAGATGCTAGGAATAGACTTTGATGAGACTTTCAATCCTGTTCTCAAATCAACCACACTTCGCTTGGTTATTGCATTGGCAACCATACTTCCTCGGCCTCTCAGACAATTAAATGTGAAGAATGCATTTCTTCATGGAAAACTTAAAGAAATAGTCTATATGACTCAACCACCAGGTTTTGAAAACCCAAAGCATCCTAATTATGTTTGTCAACTTAGCTCATCCATCTATGGCCTTAAACAAGCACCAAGGGCATGGTTTGGTACATTCACTTTACATCTTTTGAAATTGGGGTTTAAGTGTAGTCCAATTGACTCTTCTCTATTTGTGCTTCATACTAGTCAAGGTAATGCCCCACTACTCCTTTATGTTGGTGACATTGTTCTTACCGCGAGTTCAGAAATCTTGCTACAAAAAATAATTGATCATCTTATGAGTGCGTTTGCACTCAAAGATCTTGGAACACTCAATTATTTCCTTGGTATCGAGGTTGTCAAGTTTAATGGGGGAATTTTCTTATCTCAAGCAAAGTGTGCAACTGATCTCCTCACTCGGATTGCTATGCTTGAAGCCTCCATTATATCAAAGCCATTGGCTGTCAAGGAAAACACCACTTCAAGGGATAAGGAGCTCATTGATGCAAAGGAATATAGGAAAATTGTTGGTGCTCTACAATATCTAACTATCACTCGAGTTGACATTTGCCATGCCATTAACAAAGTATGTCAATTTATGCAAAGTTCCACTCTTACTCATTTACGTCAAGTTAAACGGATTTTAAGGTATATTAAGGGTACACTACACTATGGCCTTTGGTTTTATTCTAACAGTCCTTTGTCCTTAACTGGCTTCTGCGATGCTGATTGGGTAGGCTGTACAACTACAAGAAGGAGTACAACCGGTTTCTGTATTTTCCTCGGAGCAAACTGCATCTCTTGGTCCTCCAAAAAGCAACTAACTGTTGCACGCTCCACTGCTAAAGCAAAGTACCATGCATTAGCTTCCACTACGACTGAAATAGTCTGGATTACCTATCTGCTACGAGATATTGGAATTTCCTTATCATCACCTCCTCAATTGTTTTTAGATAACATTAGTGCTCTCTGCATATGTCTATCAATCCAGTTTTTCATGCCCGAACCAAACACATTGAGCTAGATTACCATTTCTTTTGGGAAAAAGTGGCAATTGGTACCCTGGTGACAAGATATATCTCTAGCACCGACCAACTTGCAGACATACTTACAAAGCCACTGCCTTATGCATAGTTTTAAGCTGTTAAGATTCAAACTGGGCGTGGTGCCTCACCCCACTACAGTTTTGAGGGGGAGTATAAAGACAAAGGAAAAATCACAAGAGTCCGATACAAGTGAGAAAGGTATCTGAGGTATCTCAGTATCTCAGCATATATGGAAACAATCATAGTGAATCAATTGAAGTCAAAGAATGATATAGGGAGCAACGGTCAGATTATACAACATTAATATTCCTCAATGTTAAGCATAACTATAAGATCTGCATTCACTTTTGTAAATATAAATTCACATATGTACAGTGCATTCTTCTTATCTTGAATACAATTTCAATATTCTTCAAATTATATTTTGGTATTCTTCACCAAGAATGATCGAGCCTCACAAATATGTTAATAGTTTTTAAGCAATTGTAGTCATTCATTTCCTTTTCTATATTACAAAACTACTTGATAGTGGTATTTGTGTTTTTCTTTTTTTTTTTCTTTTTTTTTTTTTTTTGGGACAATGGATAAGTGTGCTTTATTAATCCAAATCCCATGTGGAATGCTTACAATCCCACCCCAGGCATACCTGGTGCTATACAATCAGTAAGAAGGATGTGCTCCAACCAGAACTGGAAATAAAAAGTAGGGACAAAAGTTACCATATAATTTCACCCAGCAACAATGCCATCAAAAATCTGAAAAGGGTAAAACAAGGGCTATAGACAAATTAACTTAGATCAAATACAAGTGTCATTGATCAGATGCTTGGCTTGAGCATTTAGATTGTCATGCCATGGCAAGACAAGAGTCAATTAAAACTTGTGATGTGTTACGGCAGTGCAGATGGTAACAAAATCATTTGAAATATGGTTACTTATCAAAACAAATGAATACCCCACTGACATAAAAAGGAAAACAAAAAAGTACTAACTTCCAATGGAGAAAAGGCAAAACCTAAACTTAGGAGGGCCATTAGAAATTATACCATGACTTTCTCTTGGCTTCCAACATCACATGTTTCATTTAATTTGGAGGCAGCCATCAGATCACTTTATGCACATGTAACCAGCCAAAAATGCAGAAATGCTCATAGGTCCACCATAAATGGACTTATAAACTATGACAGACTTGATAGATTCTGCTAGCTTACCAGGAAACAGATGCAAATTCTAGTAAATAATCATACACTTCAAAAGCTCCTAGATTGTGCTAACAATTGTAACACCTAAAATAGGTTATACAATAACTGCATCAATTAGTATAGTGTAAGTAGTCAAAAACCATGACCCTGAAACCTGGAGAAAGTTTCACCCCTTCTGACTAAACCAGTTGAAATTTTTACACTTAAAATGATTTCTTACAATTTTATATTGTCTTAATTTGATTTTCCACAGGGCTGTTAAAAGATCAAACTGCGGTACGGTTACCGTAATCATTCTGAGTGTCAAACCTCCAACAACCCTTTCATGATCATTTTTGCTTGTATCCAGATTTCTGAGTCAAATCCCTAGCTTCCACGAGCTCTCATGGCTGTCCATCCTCACCGCCATCATGTCATTCGCTTATTCGTCCATTGGTCTTAATTGGCCTCTCCATCGGTCAAGTTGCAAGTAAGTTGAAAAAAAACCAATAATTCCTTAAATTTGTTCATTGAAATATTGTCGTGCACCATCAGATGGATGTAACTCTAAGGGTATATTCTATCAAATAATTTTAATTTTACAGTTTAAGTTATATTTTATAGAATATAGTTCTAATTTTATAGTATGAGTTAACTTATACGTAAATGATCGTTGAACGTGAAGGTGGGGACCAGCGAGAACATCGCTGACTGGAGTTCCAGTGGGTGGGGACGTGTCAGGAACGCAGAAGGTGTGGAAAACGTTCCGAGCCATCGGGGATATTACCTTTGTTTATGCTTACTCCACAGTTCTTGTCGAAATTCAGGTAAGTTCTTATCTTTCCTTAATACTTAACCAGTATATTTTTCCGGATAAAAAATAAAAAATTCAACATTTATAAGCAAAATTGTTCGAAATATATAAGAAACTGGAAATTGAAATGTGTTCCTGATTAAATTAAATTAAATGTCGGCATGGTATAAACGCTCCTTCTTTTGCAGTGTTTGGCGGTGA